GGCAGCAGCGGCCGGCCCGCGGTCGAGTGCTCCGGTTCGCCGGCCGGGACCGCGGAGCCCAGCGCAGGCAGCGGCACCCCGAGCCGGTAGCCGCCCACAGCAGACGCGATGAAGAGCTTAAGCGTGGTGACGTCGCCGCGCGCCGCGTCCATGCAGGCACGGACAAATGTGGCCTCGACGAGCTCGGCGACCTTTGACAGGGTGAGCGGAGCCGGAGGCGGAGTGCCCTCTGCTGCCACCGCCAACCGGACAGACGGGGTGCGGAATAGCGTGGGTGAGGCGAGGCGAGTGACCGCGTCGCAGCGAGACCAGCAGCCCGAGAGCGGGGAGGAGAGGGCCGCCGAGAGGGCCGCCTGCGCAAGCAGACCAGCGGCCATTTTCCACAAAATAAAAAATAAATATGCAGCGAGGGAGGCGTGGAGCGAGAAGGGCGCCGCAGGCGCGAACAGGAGGTGGGGGAGAGCGCGCTAGGGAGAGCGTCTGGAGAGCGAGAGAGAAAACACTGAGGCCCGCTTCAGCCTTCACTCGGGGGTTGGAGAGAGATTTTTAAAGACGCTAGAGGGGGTTTGATACGGTTTGTGCATCATCGATTCGAGGCGAAGGGTAAGATCGTAAGAAGTAGCGCTAGCGGCTATAGATGACGCCCGGACCAGAATTGGGTTTGCAAAAGCTTTACACGACTGTCACTCTCTGGGGGCACACTACTCTCTCTAAACGCGCGCACACACATACGGCTTTACATGCCCTCACATGCCCTTAACGTTAAGAGAGTCGCCAAGACAGAGGGCCAATTGTCGCCAAGACCTGTCAGAGCTTGATCTCCAATCTCAGCGGCGTCGAGTCGTCTCCGGCGGCGACAATTTTGTCCCTCCCCAGGACGCACAGAGGGAGTTGGTTTGTAAAATTCTTTTCTGGCGATGTGTCCACCCCACAACGCCGACTGTGGAGGACCCGTCGCCAGACGACGCAGGGCAGACGATGTGGGGGCGGAGCAGACGCGCAGAGGGCGAGATGAGGGAGGGAGCAGGACTTTGCGGAGATCAGCAGGAGGATGTACGAAGAGATTAGGAGCAGCAGGGACCCGAGGGACCATGTGGAAGACGGCTAGTGCTAGTCCCCCGTCGGGAGGACGACCCCGGCTAGTCGCCGACCACACCCACAAAGAACCCTGCACAAAGATCGCACGGGCGGGGACCTGTGTTCCTTTTTACCCATCTCACAGTAGAGAGGTGTGGCTGGTTCCAATTCACTCTGACACGCTGATCTTGAAAACGCGTCCAACGGAGCTCCGTGTTGCTCCCAGCGGAGCCCCCCGCGCTTCCTGCGGCCATGGCCGATGATACTAGTATGAGAGGTCATCTGGCTACCGCGAGCGCGACTCAACTCGCCGACGTCGTCCGATGATTGTGCCTCAAAGTCAGCCTCCGGAGGCTATCGTGGGGTCGAGCCGGCGGTAGCCGTGACATGTGGTTCCACCACCCCTCGCAGGCTTTGCCTCTGACCGCCACCGTTCCCAGGCCGCTGCCTAATGGGGTGGAAAGGAAGGCTGGGCGAGCGTATAGAAGCGTGCTCGACCTCGTCGTGGCAACCTGCACGGCAGCGCTGGTAGGCGCGATGAGCGTCGTGCCACCTGACCCAAGACGGGTCGCAGGCGTCGTACCGAGCGTGTTGAGACCGTGTCCTGATGTGATCTGCACGGGTGAGTCTCGTCGGCGTCAAAGGAGCGACGTGCGACCTTATGATGTAACATACTTGACCCCCCCCCCCTTGGCGCCTTGTGTTTTTCGTGGCAGAGCTGCGATCTCAGCCCGCATTCCTCCGCTCAGCGCCGGCCGCCCATGCGCTCCCGGGGCCGCCCGACGGCGCGGGCCTCTTGCCGATGGACCCAGCCGAGGTGCCGAACCAGTTGGACCCGCGCTGACGCGCTGCGCGCGACCACCAGCCAGCTTTTCAGCGAGGCCGAGCACGGTGCGTCGAGAAAGCTGACAGTCAGAACAGTTGTCGCTTTTTTTCCCTCTTTTTGAGCGCTGCTGCTGCAGACCCTGCCCACCAGTGATACGAGACGCACCGGATCCAACCCTGGCAGCGCTTGACCGTCTCCCCGGTGGCCGCCCACAGGTGGCTGATCGAAGCGCCACTCATCGCTGCTTTCGCGCGCCTGGCTCTCAGAGGGCTCCTGCGGCTCTCCCTCGTCGCGTGACCGCCGCCGACAGCATCTGCTCGGTCGTGCCCGCCGGCGCGGAGCTGCAACACGTCGAATTCTTCGGTGGCTCGACCGCCGGCGCGCCCACCCTCGCCTCCTGCGCGCCTCACACCCAGTATTCTCCTCGCGCGCGGCCGACAAAGTAGGCACACGACCACCTCTCTCTCAGTCACCCCCCCCCACGATGCACAGCCCGTCCACTCTCGCCGGCAAGGCGCACGGAACGCCCAATTTGGGCTGGAAATGCCGCCGCCACGGGTTGGTGGCGCCCTCGGCAGCGGGGCAGCGCCACGCCGCGCAAACTTGCGCGACAAACTTGCGACCTCTGTCCCTCGTATTCACCCCAGATTTTGCCCTATCCAGGCTCACCCGGTACCGCGAGCGGCGAGCCGCGCCAAGTTTGCTCCATTTCCGACAAGTTCATCCCGCCCGAAGGCCGATCTTCGGCCGCCTGGAGGCCCAGGACGGGGCTCGGGACCGGCCAGGTGTGGATTCTCCACGGCGCTGCGGTGTATCTGCGCGCCCATGGCGCGTTCAGGGGTGTGCCTGAGGCGTGTTGACTGCGGGGCGCCGCGATAGCGCGGCGCCGACGATTGTGTCAGCTCACTGTCACACCGTCGACACGGTCACAGTGTGTGTGCAGTGCGTCCACTCCGGCGACCGTGACGCCGTCGGTTCTCGCCTATACCGGCTAGTGTGGAGCTTTCAGTGTGGTTGCGTGTTGTACTAGTGATGCTGCACTAGGCGGCCCGTTTTTAGCAAAAACCAGATACCACATCGCGTGTGGTTGTCGAAAAACCGCATCTTCGCCCGTCTGGGACCTCTCTTCGTACGGCTCCAAAAACGGCTCCTTAACGACGGCTACGCGGCCCGGCGGTCGATCTGCGCCTTCTCAGCGGTGGAGGGGATGTGGGCGGTACGTGCGTACCGCGTGGTGTTGCGACGGTTTGACGAGAGTGCGACTCCCAGCGTCGACTTTTCGACCCCACGGAGCCTCTGCTGCTCCGGGGGGGGGGTCTGCAGACCACCCGGCCGAACTTCAGAGTCGCGGTGCTCCTCAAATACCGCTCAAACGCCCACGATGCTGTGGAGGGGACATATGCTGATGATCCTGGCCCGATTGGTTCGCTCAGAAAGCTTCTGGGCGGTCGTTAAGGTTCGCTCCCCGCACACCGGCCCGGAAGTATGTTACATCATAACCTGTCAGAGCTTGGTCTCCGATCTCAGCGGCGTCGAGTCGTCTCCGGCGCGCGACAAAGGTACATACCCAGGACGCGCAGAGGCAGCTCCAAATAAATAAATAAATAAAAACGGTCAAACTCTGAGACGAGATGGGATTTAGGGACATGTGTCCCCGCCCTGCACGATCTTGGTGTGAGGGATCTTCAATCCGTCCCCTCACCCCCTGGTCACTACCCGACACTAGAAGAGCAGCAAGAGTTGGGGCTGCGGCTACGGCTGCGGCTGCGGCTACGGCTGCAGCTGCGGGAGGGGCTATGGTCGCGGGAGAGCCGCTGCGCCGCGTGGGCGCGCCTACACCGCGCTTGCTCCGCTCGCCACCTCTCGCAAAGGTCCAAAGTCATAGCCATCACCTCCTCCGGCAAGTCCTTTTCGCCTATCTCGCCGTCCCTCCATGCCTGGTAGAGCTCGTCGTCATACGTAGCCATATTTTGCATCACAGCCTGCTGCACTGCGTCGTGCACAACCCCTGCCACCCTATCCCGCGCCTCAGCGTCGGAAAATTCGAGCTCGGAGTCATACCAGGAAGGAGCAAGGAGGCAGCTCCAGCTGCGACCCCCCGTTTTATTTATTTATTCCAAACGTAGCGCCAGCCAGTAGCAGTACCACATGCCATACCCGGGTACGGTACTACGGCACACGAACCTGAGATTCCGACAGCACCAGCGGAGGAGCGGACCACACACACACCAAGCATGTCGTGTGCACAGAAGAGCCTCACTCTCTACAGACTGCACCGCGTACAAGCAGAGCTAGCGAGGAGAGAGACCAGAGAGCGTTCAGAAAGGACCACCGCGCACCGGCCTACAGCGGGGCAATCCGCCGTACTAGTGTAGGAAAGCCCCTGCGCTAGCGAGCGCCTGGCAGGCGCATTCTCGGAGTCGAGACGGGAGCGCCAGAGCTGCCCGCGCCGCCGACAAAGTGGAGCTCGGCGACGCACCGCCGGGCGCACTGCGCCGAGAGCGCGAGAGGCGCGCTTCCGCGGCGAGATACGGCGAGGTACAGCCGGAAACAGAGGGAGCGGGGTGCCGGTCCCGGTGCGCCTCCCTCCCTCTCAGCCATCGAGCTCGATCGGGTCCTGCTGCGTGCCCGGCGCGGGCGGCGCGGGCGCCACGTCCCACGCGAGCGCCTCCGCCACCGAGTGCACCGTCGGCGGCAGGCGCCACCTGTTTTGCTTTCCATCGATGCCGAGCATCGTGAAGGCGTCGGGCTTGAAGCCGGCTGTCACCGGCACCTGGAGCGGCGCCATCAGCGCCATCAGCGCGCGCAGCACGCGCTGCAGCTCCGCGCGCTCGTCGAAGTCCCTCACGTAGACGCAGCAGACGACAGCCTCGCGCACGAGCTCGTCCGGACCTGCACCGGTCGGCGCGACCTTGGCGCTGCAGCCGAGCTCGCCCGTGGCCGTGGCGCGCGCGATCGCCGCCCACGCCGCGTCGGCAACGCCCGGCTCGAGAAACACCATCCACTTTCCGGTGGTGTAGCCCTGCCGCCGCGCAGTGTCCAGCAGGCGCTCGACACACTCCCTCTTGGCTGCCGCCGGGACGTTGGCGCCGCGGTCGATGATGTCGCTGATCTGCTGGAGGGCCGGCTGGTACGGCGCCTCCGAGAAGTCGCCGCCGCCCGAGGAGCCGGGCGTGCCAGCCGCGCGGCTGTGTACCTGCACCCACGCCACCTGTGCAGCCGGGACGAGCGACGGCTTGACAGCCTCGATCCAGCGGTGCAGCGGCTCGGTGTCGTCCCAGACGATGCGCCCTCCCGCCATGCTGCGGATGCGCTCCGCCATGGTGCGAGCCCCCCGGGAGGCCTCCCCCTCCCGCCCGCCTTGCGCACGGCTCGCGGGCACCGAGGAGGGGTCGACGAGGTAGTCGACCGCGCGAGCTGCGTCGCCGAAGGCTGCGGCCAGGGCAGCGAGCGCGTCCTCCCGCGGGAACCCCATCGCAGAGAGCGAATCCACCACAGCCGGGTCGACGCGAAACGTCGCTGCGGGCGGTGGCGCCGCCGACGGGCCGCCCTCTCCTCCACTCGCCGCGAAGGCCCGCGACTCGTTCAACCGCTTCGCCTCCGCGCGTTTGCGGTCCGTCAGCCGCCACTGCACCGAGACGCGGTGCCCGAGGCCGAGGCGCGACTCCATCCAATCCGGCAGCGACCCGCGGGCGGTCGGCGGCGGCGGCTGCTCGCGGTAGACTGCGCGCACCCCGTGGAACGCCGCGCAGCCGGAGAAGGCGACGACGTCGCCGCTGCGCAGCCGGACGCGCTCGCAGGAGCGGCACTCGCGCCCCTGCCCGCCGCGCGCGCACGCCGCGCAGAGCCGATCGCGTAGCAGGTGCGTGTAGTGCTCTTCTGTCCTGTAGCGCGACTCCTTCCCTTTGTGAGGCGCATCGTCCCAGACGACCCAATGCCCTTCGCCGCCGCCGCCGCCGCCGACGCACCACGTCTCGCGCGTCTGCCGCGCCTTGCAGCGACCCGGCTGGTCGAAGAACATGTCGCACTCGCCGAGGTTGAGCAGCACGACGCCATCAGTCCCATCCTCGTCGACGTGGCCGTGCATCCGCCCACCCTCCTTTCGGTCGAGCACCCGGCACCAGTTGAACTGGTCGCTGCTGAGGCCGTAGAACATGCGGGCGAGTTTCGACGGCGCGGCGCCCTCCTGCTTGAGCGGGAAGTCGTGCACGCGCAGCGAGCAGTCCAGCCCCTCCTCCGCCGCCGCAAAGATGCGAGACTGCTGCTGCCCCTCGGACTCCTCCACCGCCCACACCGCCGCCCGGACGGCGCGAAGGGCGTCGAGGCTGCGCGGCTGGGAGGAGTTGAAGAGCACCTCGAAGTTGTCGTTCGAGATGGAGTTGCCCTTTGTCAGCGACGAGGTGCGGCCCGGCTCGGCCATCGCCTTGGCCGTCCCTGGGCGGATGTTGGACTCGCCCGGTCGAATGTCGGCGCTCTTGACGACGTGCCGGCCATGCGCGCCGTCAAAGTTGCGAAAAACGACGGCGAGGACCTCGCCGCGTTTTCCGCGGAGTAAAACCTCTGCGTCCACGGCGGCGGCCTGGATGTCGATGGCCGCGCCGCCGACAATGGGGCGGGGCGGCGCCGTGGGAGGTGGCGCGGCGGGAAGCGGCGGCACGGCGGCGCCCGGCGCGGGCTTCTTGCTGACGGCACGCGGAGTTTCAGCGACGTCAGCCTGGCGCCGCTTCAGGATCTTTGTGGCAGTGGAGATGAGCCGCTTCCGGTCCGCCTCCTCCTCGTATGCCTCCCAGCAGCCGTTGCAGTAGGACACCGAAGGGTTCGCAAGGTCGACTGCCAGCGAGAGAGATTGGACACCGCACTCCGCGCAGGCCGCCATTGGGCTTACCCGGGTAGGTCGCTCGCGCGGCGCCTGCTCAAAGAAGGTGAAAAAGCCGATGACGCGGTCCGCTAGGTGCGCTCCTTAGCTCCCCGGCCCTGGATGTGAGGCTGATGACTGCACTCCAAGTGCTCCAAGTGCTCCAACCAAAGCTACTCGACTTGCAATCCCAAACTGTCACTCCCCTCTCTCCCGGCCGGGGTGGGGCGCGCGCGAGAGAGATTTTTAGCAATACCTTAAAGAGAGGTTACAGGCGGGTAAGGTCCGTTCAATACCAAACAACTCTAACACTCACACGTCATTTGGGGCCTGGATTTTTGTGTGGCGCGCGCGGGGGCGGCGGGTGTGCGGCGGGTGTGCGGGATGTCTGTGGGACCGAGAGAGCGATGTGCTTGTGTCCGCCTTGGCCCTTGCGTTTGTTTTCATAACATCGAAGGCTAGCTCAAAAAAGCTCGGCACACCCAAAAAAAGATTTTTTCGTTAGTCGCTCTAGAGGGTTAGACCAGCTTCGAGACGACGACAAGAACCACGATGTCCGGCAGCTGCGGTACTCGATGATGCGCTGCCGCAGCTCAACGCCGTACTACTGGATGCGCAAGTGTACCCGTGTGTGGTCCGGCCAGTGCTCGAGGAAGTGGTGGAGCCGGCGCTCAAGAAGTCGTTCGTGCAGCTGGCTGAGGCGGGCCACAGCCCGCAGGAGCCCATCGACCAGGCCTGGGCGGAGGCCCAGCAGGACGGGCGCTTCGGTGGCTGCGGCCTCGGCGGGCACGCAAAGACGGCGGATGCGAGCTTTGCGGCAGCTGTCCTCTCGGTCTACCCGTCACTACGTGACACCGTCGCACTGCGGGGCATGCCTCTCTCCCCGGTGGCAGGGGAAGAGACAGTGCCGATGCTGCAGCACTTTGCGCAGCGCAAACTACAATGACATCAGCGCAACGACGTGGCGATGTCGCGCGCATCTACGCGGTGCGTGCACAAGACAAGGAGCTTGGCCTATGCCACACGTACGAGACGCGAGGGTTGCCCCCCCTTGCCCCACCACCTCGTGTGTGTGGAGAAGTTTACCTTACCTTACCTTACCTTACGAGCTTGGCCGCTTCTGTCCGTCCATGCTGCCGTCGGCGCAGCGCATCCCGCCTATTGGCGACCTCTTCACGCAGCAGAGCACCTCTCCAGTCCCGAAACAGGGCACGCTCGCTGCTGTCGGGGCCCACGATGCGGGGATTGCGTGCCTGGCGGCGTGCGAGGAGATTGACAAAATTACACGCCGCAGTCGGAGGCGATCAAGTCCAGGGAGGCGACTCGCTACATCGGAGTCGTAGTAGTCCCGGGTTACCACGTTGAAGAGCGTGAGAGTGTCGGCTGGAGCGCGGGTGCAGGCTCGCGTGGAGTGCGGGACTAGATCGGTCGCTGCGACGATAGATTGTACTCTAACACACGACGCTCGGTCCCTTTCCACACGGTTACGCCCGCCGAAGCTCGCGAGGCGAGCATACCGAGGCTCAGCTAACGCACTAAGGGTCCCACGTGGTCATGCGTGCATGCTGTTGCATGCTGTCGTCCGTCCCGCGTCTCAGCGGCTCCGTCGCACCGAGCGTGACGCGCGCGCGGGCGTTCCGACGCCGCGTGGTCCGCCGGACAACTCCCTGTCGTCGTTGCGCAGCAGCGGAACGGTCCGTGGCTCGCATTCGGGTTGCCCATGCCGCGTTGCCCACTGTCCTCACTGGCGCACGGGTTGCAGTGCTTCTCGATGTGCACCGGTTGCCCGAGGAGGACATGCCATATGTGCTCGAACGCCGAACCCGCCCAATTGAGCCCGAAGTTGGAGGCCTTGTCGAGCACAGATGCCTTGATTGGGTTGGCACCATCGAAGGTGAGGGCCACCTCGAGCCCAACTTCGTACACTTGCCGCGGGTTGCGCCGCAGCGCGCGCCGGGAAGCGAGAAATTGCGCACAGCACTCGAAGGAGACGTTACGCACACCCGTGTGCTGGCGTGGCAGATGTGGCGTCGGGTCGTCGATCGCGTCGCGCGCGAGCGCGGCGCTGGCTGGCCGGAAGCTTGAACGCCACCGACGCCAAAGCTCCGCGTAGCCTGGCTCCCAGTCCCGGTAGTGGATATCACGGTGTGCAACGTATGTCGTCGGCACGATCGGCACATAATCGGGGACAGTTTCTGCAGCATTCCACTCTGGAGGCGCCTCACGCCAGAGGCACGCTGCCACGCGATGCAGCGTGTGCCTTGTGCCGTGCGGTGCACCGTGGACAAAGGCCACCCACTGTGGTAGTGTGTCGTAGCGCTCCGCCATGTAGTGCAAGTACGCCGGTGTCTCGCGACCGCGATTGGGCACGAATCGACGTCGGCAACACGCGCCACAAGTGATGTTGCGTACCGCAGCCGGTGTCCTGTACGAGGGATGGGCCCTGCCAGAGTCGACTACCTGGTAGAATGTGACTGGCGATTGGCGCACGAGCGGCAGCACGGCCTCGAACGACTCGTCAAAGCGCACCCACACAAATTCGAGCCAACCGCCGAAGGAACACGATGCGGCAGCGTCTGCAGGCGTTGCCGCTCGTCCCGGCATGATCGTCGCCCAACGAAAAAATAGTGCGCGTTGCGGTTGCGAGCCGACGGGACGATCGTCGGCGCGGTGGCCGAGGACGATCAGCTCGTGATCGTGGACTGAGCCGCATCACGCTCGAGTGCTCTAGGGTGGGGTTTCTCGTACCACCGTCGTGCTCTCGTGCAAAGGCGGACCCACTTGCTCCACGCCCGCCCCTCGTAGACGGTTACCGGGAGCCATCGGAGATCATCTCGGGTCTCTGAGCGGGTACGATGTGGCGGCGTTCCGTCCGCCGGAGCCACGCGAGCGCAGCGAGCCGAAGCAAATTTTGAGCTGTGGCCTGTGGGCTGTATCTTCTATCTGCTAGTGGCTGGGTACGAGTGTTGTTCGCGCTCCCTAGCTCTTTGGTATTGTTGTTCAGCCGGCCTAACGTTAGCTACTGTTGTTGGGGAGCCCCACTGTTGTTCTGTTGTTACTGTTAACACTAGCAACACTGTTCAGCTCTTAACGTTTGACAGCCCTAACCCCAATACTCGACTGTTGCCATCCCAATCTGTCACTCCCCTCTCTCCCGGCCGGGGCGGGGCGCGCGCGGGGGCGGCGGGTGTGCGGGATGTCTGTGGGCCCGAGAGCGATATGCCCTGTGTCCGCCTTGCTTTGTTCTTGTTCCCTAACATCGAAGGCTAAGCTAAAAAAAATCTTGTTTTTGTGACTAGTCTTTGTTAGATATCGAGGTCTCGTGAGTTTTTTATGGCACTGATAAATTCGCGCGACTCGCGGCGAGCCGAGCCAGGCCACGGCGCTCGGCCTGCTGAGAGAAGACCTTCCCGAGCGCGGATTTGTCGGCTGTTGGTCGTAGGGTGTTGAATTGCCCTTCCCCTCAATCAAACTTACTTCCCCCCTTCATATTCGTTCCGCGAAACAGTCTAACAGAGGGCCGTCTACAACAAGACAGCTACGGGAGAGACCCGCGCCGCCGCCAGCGGCGCCACAGCCTCCCACGCATTCTCGGCCGGGTCGTACCGCTCCACCGAGCTGAGCGCGTTGTTGCAGCCTCCCACCGCGTACAGCTTGCCGTCGAGCACCGCCACGCCATGTTCGCCCCGGGCCGTCCCCATCGGCGCCACCGCCTCCCACGAATTGGCAGCCGGATCGTACCGCTCGACCGAGCTGAGGCGGGCACCGCCCCCGTCGCCGTTCCTGCCGCCGACCGCGTACAGCTTGCCGTCGAGCATCGCCACGCCGTGATTATACCGCGCCGTCCCCAGCGGCGCCACCGCCTCCCACACATCCAGTGCCGGATCGTACCGCTCCACCGAGCTGAGGAAGTCAGTATTGAAGCCGCCCACAGCGTACATCTTGCCGTCGAGCGCCGCCACAGCGTGATGGTCCCGCTCCGCCGCCATCGGCGCCACCGCCTCCCACGCGTTCGCCGCCGGATCGTACCGTTCCACCGAGCTGAGGGTGCCGCCGTAGCCTCCGTACCCGCCCACAGCGTACAGCTTGTCGTCGAGCACGACCACGCCGTGACACCACCGCGCCTCTGCCATCGGCGCCGCCGCCTCCCACGCGTTCGTTTCAAAGTCGTACCGCTCGACCGAGCTGGAAGTTGCTTCGTCGGCCTCATCCTCGCCATCCTCATCCTCGCCATCAGCCTCGCTCCGGCCGCCCGCCGCGTAGAGCTTGCCATCAAGCACCGCCGTGCCGACATACGTGCGTGCCGTCAGCATCGGCGCCACAGCCTCCTCCTCCCACTCATTCGTTGACGGGTCGTACCGCTCCAGCGAGTTAAGGAACTCGCCCTCGCTGTCTTGGCCGCCGATCACGAGCATGCGCGGCCTCTCGCGCTTCTTCAGCGTCTCCTTCCAGCCGCGGCGCCACGCGCGGCACGTCCCCTTGACGGCGTGCTCCTTGGTCGGCAGCTGGGCGAGGATGTGCGGGGCGAGGTCCGGCGAGAGGAGGACCTCGGAGAGCACCCACTCGGGCTGCTCCACGAGCCGTGCGGCGTGCTCCTCCGCCACGCGCAGCGCAGCGTCGCTCGCGCCCGCCTGCGCCTCGATGATGGCGCACAGCTGCGCTGGCGAGAGGTTCGCGACGCGGGCGCCGATGCGGTGGGAGGCCATGTGGAGGAGAAAAACAAGCGGAGCGGCAGCGAGGGCGGATCGGGCCCCCTCCCCCCCCCTCCCCCCCGGGGGCACACAGGGCAGGCCAAAAAGAAAATATCCGACAACAACAACAAGACAGCTACAACAAGAGAGAGGCCCGCGCCGCCGCCATCGGAGCCAGCGGAGAGGATTTCGCCCACAACGGTGTGAGGTAGATCCCCTGCCGACACAACATAATCTCCTCTCGCCGTCTCGCGGCTTTGCGAAAAGAATTCGCTGGACCAGGATCCACCTTCATTTTTTGGTTTTTTGAGAATTCGCTCAGTGGAAAAGAATTTGACGAAGGCAATTTCAATTTACCCGACATCAATCGTCGACGGCAAGCTCGAGAACTGCGCCTCCAAAGTCGCCCAGATTCGCCTCTCGCGGCGCGCTGAGTTAGTATCGCCGGTGCGCCAGCCGGCTCTGCTCCACAGCAGGGCATGCCTGACTGGCTCCTGCTAGCCGTGCGTCCTGGTGGCATCCATTGCCAGCTCAGGTAGCCTCAGGAGGTCGCCTCGCGCACAACTCGGCGCCGCACAGCACCGCTCCGCGTTACTACCGAGTTAGTATCGTCGACCCACAGAGACTGCTCTTCTGTAGGTGGAGCCGACAAACGCCGGCCGGGTCGGCCCCGCCGCCCCCATCGCCGTAGCCGGGGCGGCGGCGGCCTCGGCGGACCATCCGACGCGCCGCGCGCCCGACGGGGAGGTGTTCACCACCCCTGGTTCCTCACCCCGCCACGCCTTCGTGCAGACGCCGTGGCACCCACCTCAGGCGCCGCTCGGGCTCGGTTGACGGCCTCCCAAGTGCTTGGCTCGTGCCCAGCCGACCGGCAGGCGATGCCCACTCGCTGCTAGGCTAATCTCGGGCTGTCAAGCGGCGGTGTGGTGCCGTGAAGGGCAGCGGTGCCAAAACTACGACTATTAGTACCGTGCGGGGGCAGAGTGCACTTAATTCTGTCAAAAATCGAAATGTGCCCCGTGGGACGTATTGGGCTAGGATCATACGTCCGGGAGGACCCCCATGCGTGCCGCAACGACCCACAGTGCTGGTACCACTCTCTTCACAGCTCTTAAGTGTGCCATAACTACGATAGTGCGGGTACCCGCACTTGGAGCACTTGGAGTGCAGTCATTAACCGCACATCCAGGGCCGGGGAGCTAAGAAGCGCACCCAGCGGGCCGGATGATTGGCATCGGGTTACGGGCTAGAGAGCCCTAGCCCCGGGGGTGCGCGTTCGCAGGGAAAGGGCCGTAAAGTAAACACGGGTCTCCGAGGGTTGGCTCCGCGCTCCGAGTTTCCCCTTAGCAGCAGACCGCCCCCTCTACTCGGAGCTATAATGAACACCAGACATGCACACGACACGCACTCTCACACGACGTCACCGCTCAGGGCCCCTTCGCGTAAGGTCCTCATCCTCACTCCGGAGGAGGCTCCCCTCTCCTCTGAGTTCTTCCTCTTGTTCGCCTTCCGATGATCGTCTGACGGGCGCGGGGCCCGACCTCCCCTCCTAGCCTTTTTCAGCCGCGGCCCCGCCACCGCCTCGTCTTCTCTGTCCGATTCTGTCGCCACCACCGACGGTGATCCCATGCCCGACTCCTCGGGCGAGGGCAGCGGCATTAGATCGCCACGCCGCCCCTCCCCGGGAAGTGGGGCCAGCTCACTTCGATCGAGGACTCGCGCCCGCCCCCGCGGTCTCTCTATCGTCCTCGGCTCGTCCGTACGTCCCGACTCTACTCGCAAAGGCCGCGCCAGCTCATCTCTCACCCTCTCCGACAGCTGACCCCAAGCCCCCCCCGGGGCCCTCCGTCCGGCCTCGGCCCCCCGGCCCGCCGGCGGAACCGTTATCGCATTGCGGCAACTCCCCTCCCCCAGCACCTCCTCCCGGGTACTCCAGCCTCCGGCGGGGCGGTTCCGGATCCCCCAGGTTATTCCGATCGGGTCCGTACGTGGCGGCCCCGTCGGCGGCGGGGTACTTAGAGGAAATGTCCGCTTTCTCGTTATTCCTCGATCCTCTAGCGTCGGCACACGTCGCTTGCCTCTGGCGCCTCCTGAGCCCACGGCCTCATGCTGCCTCGACTGCAAGGCCCCTCCGCGCTGACGCTGCAGGGAGAGCTCGTGCTGCGCATCGTCGCCGCGCAGGACATCGCGAACCCACCTTCCGGGAGCGCGCTGGGCCAGCCGACCTGGCTTCTGCAGCTTACCGACGGCGCCGAGTGCTGCACCGCCTTTGAGTGGTCGCCGCTGCCGGCGCTGCACGAAGCGGGCGCGGATCAGCTCCTCGCCGTCGGCGCCGCGCTACGCCTCATCAACTGCCGCGTCTCGGGTGGCATCCTCCTGCTCGAGCCCGCGACGACATCGCTGCTCGGAACAGACGACTCCGCCGACGCACCGGCAGCGCCTCCCGCGCTGGCAGCCGAGTGGCCCGAGTGCCTGCTGGCGGCGGCGGCCGGCGGCGCGAAGCCGCCGCGTTTCGAGCACTATCGCGCCACGGGCTCGGCCTCCGCAATCGACGACTCGCCTGCCATGCTGCCGCCGCCGCCGCGGCCGCTGCCGCCGCCGCAGAAAGAGCAGAAACAGGAGACGCAGCAGCAGCAGCAGCAGCAGCAGCAGCAGCAGCAGCCGGAGCAGCCGAAGCAGCCGAAGCAGCAGCAACAACAGTTGCGACAGCAGCAGCAGCAGCAGCAGCAGCCGAAGCAGCCGAAGCAGCAGCTGAGGCAGCAGCAGCAGCAGCAGCAACGACAGCAGCAGGCGCTGCCGCCGCGACCGGCGGCCTCGCTGATCGATGAGGCGCTCCTGCAGCAGCTTCTCTCCACCGGCCTCTCCCCATCGCAGAGTTGCGCTCGCGGCTATGTACCGCGTCTCTTCACACCTGCGGTTGTGAACAGGCCTCTCCCTCGCAGAGGTGCACGCGGAGCTCGGCTTGCCGCCCCCCGAGGCCACGGGCGGCGCGAGAGGAGGCGCGGCCGCGCGCGAACGAGAGGGCTCCCGCGGAGGGCGTGGCCGGTCGGGGAGGGGGGGCGCGAGGCCCGGCGGGCTGATTGGTCGAAAGCAACAGCCGTTTATGTAGAGCTCACCACATGGCTCTCGGCCGCGCATCGCCCCCAAAAGTCGCAGCGGCACATACATACCTCATGCGACACCTCACATACGGCTCTATGCGTTCGCACGAAACACCTCCCTTTTCTTCTCGCGATGGGGGTTGGGGGGGGGGGGGGACATTGTGCAGTAAGTTGGTAAGGTAAGGTAATAAGGTAAACTTCTCCACAGCACACACGAGGTGGTGGGGCAAGGGGGGGCAACCCTCGCGTCTCCACGTCTAACGACAGGAGCCCCACGGCATTCAAAGTGCAAGGCCCGGTGCGCGTGGGTGAGCGGTGTGTGTGTGTGTGTGTGTGTGTGTGTGTGTGTGTGTGTGTGTGTGTGTGTGTGTGTGTGTGTGTGTGTGTGTGTGTGTGTGTGTGTGTGTGTGTGTGTGTGTGTGTGTGTGTGTGTGTGTGTGTGTGTGTGTGTGTGTGTGTGTGTGTGTGTGCGTGTGTGTGTGTGTGTGCGTGTGTGTGTGTGTGTGTGTCACGTCACTGCATCCTCTGCCGGTTCCTCCCGTCGCCTCTTCTTTGCGTCGAATGTGCAGTGCGGGCAGGCTCACGCTCCACGCAGGTCCGCGCAAGCCATCTAGCATGGGAGGACTAGTTGCAGTCTAGCCGCGCCTTCTCGAGCACAGTGCGGAGGTCGTGCAGGTGCTGCGCGTGGTCGCTGATCGGGCGTGTCGTGATTGCATCGTCGAGCTCCTCGACCCACTCGTTGAGGACGAACCTGCGAACGAGATTACCCGAGATCACCTCACGGACGACGGCGTCGGCAAGGCTCCAGCAGAGGAAGCGGGCGCCGGTGGAGTGCCGCCGCTCCTGCAGCCGCTCCTGCACACAAGGAAGGTAGAGGTACGGTCGGTGAACTTCTCCACACCGTACTAGTTGGTGGGCCGCACGGGCCAGGCAACCCTCGCGACGCCACGTCCAAAGACAGGAGCCCCCCCCCCCCCTCTCCCCCGCGCATGAAGAGAGTGGAAGGCCCCTATTGTGCGTAGCGGCTCCTGCAAGCAGCGGCGCTGCTCCGACAGCAGCTCGTCGAGCCTAAGGGTGAATGAATGGGCACGGTCAACTCTGAGACACGATGAAGAGGACAAGTTGGCACGTCGTCGAGCCTGAGTCGATGGTTAGCTCGCCTGACTACTTTGATCATTGTGATGGGGCTGCCCCGACAGTCTTTTGTCAGGCCGGCTCCCGCTGGTGCGCGCGGAGCGGACGGCGGAGACGAGGAGGTCGTCGCCTAATCATTGGGACCGTTCCACATGACCTGTGCCGCCCTGTTGGTGTGGAGAGTGACGGCTCGGGCAGCCCGTTTGCAGGTGGAAGGCTCTACGAGTCTGACGGCGACATGGTCGGCACCAAAGGTCCAACGGCCAAGGACGTGGTTTCACTGCGCGACTGAGGACTGTGGGCTTGGAACCACCCCAATTCTCCACCTCAGCTACGACACATGCGTTGCGTGCTTTTTTCTAGGGTTGCCTAACGTTAATTTGGGGCCTAACAGTTGCGCTATTGTTGGCTGAAATCCTCAACGTTGTTCAAGTGTTCTCCCCAGCCCAAGCTGTTACTGTTTGTTACTGTTGTTACTGTTGTTCAGCGGCCAGCAAGCAGAAAATGGCAAAAAACCCGGGTAAAACCCGAAAATACCTGGGATTTTCCGGGTATTTTCGGGTATTACCCGCACTGGACACTAGAGATCGTCGTGGGTCACTGCCAGGCCTTCCTTATTGTTGTTCAGCCGGCCTAACGTTAGCTACTGTTGTTGGGGGGCCCCCCACTGTTTTGCATCTGTTGTTACTGTCAGTATAATACTGTTAACACTAGCAACACTGTTCAGCTCTTAACGTTAGGCAACCCTACTTTTTTCTTTCCTCCCGAGAGTTAATTGTGGTTTCGGAAAGAGAATGATGTGGCGTCGCGGGAGCCCGATTAAAGCCGTACGTGGGAGGAATCCTACCAACCAGAGCAAGCAGACCCCAAGACGGTCTCATCGCGTGCACGGCCTACCCCCGGGAGTAGGGTAGGCGAAACAAATCTTACCCCTCGAGCGCTCCGATCGCCTCCGTCACCGCCGCCACGAGCCGCGACGCCTCCCCCTCGCTGCGCGGCCCGTCCCTCCGCCACCTCGCCGCGTCGTGGTGCCTCGCCGCGTTCGCCCAGATGCGCAGCGAGTGCAGCTGCCTCCGCAGCTCGGGCGGCAGGCCGCACTCGCGGTGCCAATAGTTGATGCGCTCCTCGAAGCCGTCGGGCGCCGCCGCAGAGCGCGAGGCGTACGCAGCGTCGAGGCGCGGCATCAGCGTGTTGAACGCCAGCAGCATGTTGCCCTGGATGCGCGCCTGCGCGTCGCCGGACGTGCGCATGCCGCGCACCTGCACCGAGAGTGGCGACGGCTCGTACCCGGTGGTGCGGGCGGCTGCCGCAGCGGCCTCGTCTCCAGGTGCCGGCGCAGCTTCTTCCATCCCCGCCCCGCCCTGCGCGCAAGACAGCAGCGCCCGGAGCGCCAGCAGCGCTTCGGGCAGCGTGCAGCGGTTGCGCAGGCTGTCGTGACAGAGGCTCTTCTGCCCGTCTCCCGCCTTGGCGAGGTCCTTGACAGCGCGCGCAGCAGCGGCGGTCCACCCCGCCGCCGCGTCTGCGACCTTGGACGCGTCGATGTTGGTCCAGAGCTCGTCGAACTCGTCCTCGCACCGGTCGGTGAGCTGCACCTCGGAGCGGCTGGTGAGGCAGACGAGGAGGGTGATGCCGATGGCGTAGCCGTCCGTCTTGCTCGAGTACTCGCCCCCCTTGATGATGGAGGGGCAGAGGTAGCCCGTGGTCATGTAAAGGGCGGCAGTCGAGCGGCAGCGGACCGACGCGTCCGGGCGCTGGTCCTTGGCGAAACCCGTGTCGGCGAGGACGGCGGTCAGCTTCTCGTCGAGCAGGATGTTGTCCGGCTTGACGTCGCGGTGTACGATGCCCTTCGAGTGGAGGTAGACGAGCGCCTCGGTCGCCTCGCACGCGACACGCACGCGCTGCCGCCACGTCAGCGGACTCGGCGGCTCTTCCATGCCCAGCCGCCGGAGCTGCGCCGCGCGGTCGGGATCCGAGATTCGCAGCCGCGCCTCGAGCGAGCCGCCGCGCATCAGCGGCGAGAGGAGGCAGACGCCGTCGGGCGAGAGGCAGTAGCCGAGCAGCGGCAGCAGGTGCGGGTGGCTCACCGCCTTGAGCAGCTTCACCTCGAGCTCTGCCCGCGACAAGCCGCCCGACTGGCCCGACTTGGCCCGCTTGACGACGAGCGGCAAGTGGCGCAGCTGCGGCGGCGCGGCGAGGGAGAGGTGGAGGTCGGCCGACGCCTCGTAGACGCGGCTGAATCCGCCGCTGCCAATCAGCTTGCCCTCCGCAAACCCATCGGTAGCCGCGGTGAGGTCCGACAAGGCTATCTCGACGGGCCGAGCAACAGCCGCCTCTTCCGCCGCGGCCGGTTCGGAGGCAACAGACAGAGTTTCCAGCTTCGACTCCGCCGCGCTCACCTCCTCGGCCAAGGCAGGCAGCGCGCCCACGTGCGGCCTGGCGGCGGCGATGCCCGCTCGGAGCGCGGAGGGGCTGTCCGCAGTGTCGAGCGACTTGAGCGCGCCCATCGCCGCGCCATGAGCCTTGCGCAGCCGCTGGCTCTCCCGCTTCCGCGACTCCTTGAGCTTGTCGCGCGCGCGCCTCGCCGCCGCCAGCACCGCCGGGCTCGCAAGGCCGCTGCACGCCTCCAGCGCACTCGCTAGGCCGACGTACGAGCCAGCAGCCACGGCCTGCTGCAGCGCCTCGTCCGCCGCGGCGATGGCGGCTGCGTCAGCGGGCGGAGGAGATGGGGCTGGCGGTGGGGTTGGCGGCGCCAGAGCGGCGGTGGCGCTGGGGCCAGGCGCCGCGTTGTCTGCCTCGCCGCTGCCGCTCTTCTTCTTCTTCTTCTTGCCCTTCTTGCTCTCCCTGGCGCGCTCCTCCTTCTCCGCCTCCTCCTCCGCCAGCAGCGCCTCGGCATGCCGCGCCGCAGTCGCCTCTGCCGCCGCTCTCTCCGCCTCCCTCGCCTCCGCCCCCGCAGCCCACGCCGCCTCCCTCGCCGCCTTCTCAGCCACCGCCTCCGCCGCCGCATGCTCCTCGATGGCGCGCATGCACTCGGCGTGGCCCTTCTCCTTGGCCAGCTGCAGCGCTGTCTTGCCGTTCTCAGCGCGCGCAGCCGTGTCTGCACCCGCCCGCAGCAAGCGCCGCATGACGGCGGGGTTGCCGGATATGGCGGCAGCCATCAGCGCGGTGCTGCCGTGGCTGTCCTGCGCTTTGACCTCCCCGCCGTGCTGCAGCAGCAAATCGACCACCCGCTCCTGGCCTTGCAAAATGGCGTCAATCAGCGCGGTGCGGCCGTTGCTGTCCTGCAGGTTGATCTCCGCGCCGTGCCGAATCAGCAGCTCGACAACCCGCTCGTGGCCTTCCTGGGCGGCGGTCATCAGCGCGGTGAAGCCGTTGCTCTTCTGCAGGTTGACCTCCGCGCCGTGCCGCATGAGCAAGTCGATCACACGCTCGTGGCCTTGGAAGGCGGCGCCCATCAACGCGGTGCCGCCGTCGCTGTCCTGCAGGTTGATCTCAGCGCCGCGCCGGAGCAGCAGCTCGACCACCCGCTCGTGGCCGTAGAAGGCGGCACCCGTCAGCAGCGTGAGGCCGCTCACCTCGCCTACCTCGTACGTCTCGTCGGCCCGCCCGCCACCCTCGAGCCACTCCAGAACCGCCGCCTCATCGCCTCGATGAGCCGCTGCGATGACCTCGTCGGAGAATGCCGTGGCACCGCTCGACGCCCGCTCCGCCGCAGCGGGCGACAGATTGCCCGGCCGCACCCGCACGCTCTCGCCGCCGCCCTCGAGCGCCACCGCGTACCGCCCGCCCTCAAAGCTCCGAGCCACGCCCCGCTGCCCGTTCAGCTCGGGGCGGGCAGAGAGGCCGCTGAGCTCGACTCGCTGCCCGAGCAGCGGCGCGTCCACAGCTGCCGCTGCCGCGCCCGAGGAAGCGCCGCCCGCCCCTACCCGGCCCTCCGCAGCCGCCTCCGCTGCCTCAGTCAAGATCTTGACGCACTCGGCGTGGCCCTTCTCCTTGGCAAGTTGCAGCGCCGTCTTGCCGCTCACAGTGCGCGCCGCCGCGTCTGCGCCCGCCCGCAGCAAGCGCCGCACGACGGCGGGGCAATTCCAGTAGGCGGCGGCCATCAGCGCGGTGCCGCCGCCGCTGTTCTGCAGGTCCTCAGCGCCGTGCCGAAGCAGCATGTCGACCACGCGCTCGTGGCCTTGGGTGGCGGCGAGCGTCAGCGCGGTGAGGCCGTCGCTGCTCTGCTGGTTCACTTTCGCGCCGCGCCGCAGCAGCAGCTCGACCACCCGCTCGTGGCCGTATTGGGCGGCGAACGTCAGCGCGGTGCCGCCGTTGCTAGTCTTCTTGTCGACCTCCGCGCCGTGCCGCATCAGCAGGTCGACCACCCGCTCGTGGCCTGCCTGGGCGGCGAACATCAGCAGCGTGAGGCCGCTCACCTTGCCTCTCTCGTACGTCGCGTCGACTCGCCCGCCGCCCTCGAGCCACGCCAGCACCGCCTTCTCCTCGCCACGCTCAGCCGCTAGCACGGCCGCGTCGGTGCAGCTCACATCGTTGGTGCAGCTCATGGAATCTGCACGCGCCATATGTGTTATCGTCTGGGTTGCGGCTCTAATGGGGTAGGGGTACGCTCGAATACTAAGCAAGAACTCAACTATGGCAAATCCTCACGCGTCACGGCTCTTTGAGGGGTAGGGGCCCCGTGACTTCTCTCGGTAGGAGGGGTCTAGGTTACCTCTACCTCTGAGGGCCTGCGGCCCTCTTGCCTTTACCTCTGGGCAGCCATGGGCCCCTTACCTCTACCTCTGAGCGACGGTGCCGTGATTTACCTGTGCGTGATCTCGCCTCGAGGATCTCGCGCGAGAGGCGAGTGATCTCTCGACACTCGAGTGATCTCGAGATGTTGAGATCTCGTACCTTTTTTTATTTAGCAGCCTCTGATGCTAGAATGAAACAAGCAAGCAGACACAACACACACACACACACACACACACACACACACACACACACACACACACACACACACACACACACACACACACACACACACACACACTCACACACACACACACACCACACACACACACACACACACACATCTTTCTCTCGGGCCCACAGACATCCCACGGTCACGACAGCTGAGTACTCCATGTCATGCACCATGTTGCATGTGCGAGAACGCAGACAGACGGCAGAGTCCACAGAGAAACGACTTTGGGGTGGTTGGTTCCTTCCTCCACTGCACTACGTCTCTCGCCTCACGTGGCTCGTGGGTGTCTCGATGGCGGACAGCGAAATTCCAGTCAGCAGTCTGAGTCAAACAAGTGGAGGACGTGTGACACGTACATAACATGCGTACACGAGCACACATGTGCAGCTGTCACCCCATCACCACAACACCCCCTCGGCGGCGCATGGCAAACTCGATGCAAGTGCCGTCCGAGTGCTGAATGTTGGGCTCGCGGTAGTAGATGCCATGCGTCTTGTTGATGGCGCGCATGAGCTTCTCGACCGCGGCCTCGGGAGCATCGGTCGAAGGCAGGTAGTCTCTCGAGCCGTGCAGCTCCAGCAGCACCTGCATCCAAGAGGGCGGGAGGCGTGCCCGAGGAGCGAGGTCCGAGGTGTGGCCCCCAGCGAGGGGTTGCCGCTGAGGGGGAGGTGTGCAGCCGAGAAGATCTTGTGCGGAGAGGACTTACTTGCAGCCGCGGCTCCTGCTCGGGGCGCAGCTGGTGGACGAGGGGCTCGAGGACTCGCACCCCTCGCAGTCGCTCTTGAGGATGTCCACTCTCCGGCCGCGGTAGGTGAGCCAGTCAGGCATGGGCCATGGCTCTACCCGCAACTCTCTCGCTGACACGCGCACCCCGTCGACCTTACGATGCGCGCTGCGGTCGCATGCCTTCCCAAGTCATACGCCACGGCGTGCGATCTAGATTCAGCACACGCGCTTCTGCTCGCATACACTCATACAATGAATTGACATCTCCCATGAGGGCGAGTTAGGGCTAGCAGTAGGCAGCTAGCCTGTGAGGAGAGCGTCCATAGACAGCTCACAAGACCCCACACACGGTCTCGTCCATGCCTTGCGGCTGGCGGTGAGATTGCTAGAGGCGGAGCAAGCCTGCTCTAGCCTCACATGTTACTTCCTGTCGTCTGTTGTGTTGTTGTGCCCTTGTTTGTTCCTTTGGCAGATGGCACCTTGGAGTGCTGGGGGGGGCGACAGCTCGGAGAGGAACTTGTGGAGGAGCGCAGTAAGCTGTGTGGGGTTGAGCCGCTCGTCCTCAAGCCAATCGTTGGCCCGGGTAAGGCGGAGGAAACGCCGCCTGAATTCGGAGTGGACCCGTCCACTCTGAGTGCCAAAATTGGCGGCAAGAAAAGGCTTGACGCCGACGGTCTCGAGGACGAGCTTCTGAAGCTTCGGCCGGACTCCAGCAATGGTGGAGCGGATGGCGGCCAAAAGGGCAATGGAAGTGCCACCAGCGCCACTGATCTTGGCGGCCTTCTCGGCGCGGTAGATGGCCCGCAGTGCGTCGTCGGCAAAGAAGGACCTGAGAATCGCCTCGGCGAGGAGGGTGTCGACCCGCTTGTGGCTTGAGGACGCGTTGGGAGACAACGATCTCGGCCACAATAGCAGACTGTTTCTCACTGACCGACTTGTGGACAGCCACGACCTGCGCAAAGTCGTCGGCGGTGGGTGTGACTGACTGTCGTTGGCGACGAACTCGAGCAAGTCGGAAAAGTCACGCGGCTTGAGCTGCTTCAGCTCGTGGCGCGCGCAGCGCACCGCATCGGGGATGGTGCAGCAAACGGTGGGCGCAATGTTATCCATGTAGACAGCGCCATTCGTGATGAAGAAGAAGCCGATGCCGTCGGTGTCTTGCAGTCGGCTCCATTCGAGGAGAGTGGCTAGGTTCGCCGCGAGCCCGTCGAGGGCGGTGGCCGGAACGAACTTGCACTCCGTCATCATTGCATCAGCACTCTGTTTAGGCTTTAGCGCCTTGCAGGAGATCCCGAGTTTGGGAATGCTCCAAGTTTTTGGTGGGCGTGTCAGGCATGGCCTGAGCAGGGATAGCGTGTCGGGCTTCACAAAAGGGCTGACGCGACCAGTCAAGCCGCTGCCACGTGCAAGCCCCACCCACCCGGCTGGCGGGTGGACCTGGGGGCGTGCCGCCCTGCTTGCTCTAGGTGAAACGTCTAAAGGACGAAGATGCACGGAGGTGCGACCAACTCAGCACGACGGGCGGAGAAGCCAGGCACTAGACCAGCCAGGAAGGACTGAGAGTGTGAATGGAGGGACACGTCACGTGTGGTTCAGACGGCCACCACACAGGGATTTTAAGGAGAGGGGTGTGGTGCGCTAGCCGTCGCCCACCCTTGGGCGTCCGCCTCTTCCTATCTCTCTTCGCAGTCTCTCGCCGATTCTCGCTACCGGCCTATTCCCATATCACTTGGAGCACTTGGAGTGCAGTCATCAACCTCACATCCAGGGCCGGGGAGCTGAGAAGCGCACCCAGCGAGCCGGATGATCGGCATCGGGCTACGGGCTAGAGAGCCCTGACCCCTAGCTAGGGGGGGTGCGCATTCGCAGGGCAAGGGCCTTAAAGTAAACACGGGTCTCCGAGGGTTGGTTCTGCGCTTTGGGTGTCCCCTAGCGGCGGAACGCCCCCTCTACTCGGAGCTAGTAAACACCCGATCAATGGATAACTTTTTTATCCAAGCCGCCGAACTCGGGCGGGCGGCCGCTTCCCGAGCACGCTCAACAAGCGCGGCGGCTCCCCAGCTCAGGCGCGCGTCTAGCGCCGCAGCGCCGACACGCAACAAGTCGCCAAGCCGCGATCAGCCCCAGCGGCTGCTCAGCCTGGGGCTCACCGACGGCTGCGACCGCCGACCACCCTCCCCTCGCAGGCACCGCACCGACCGCAGCGATGCCCGACGAGAATGTGACCGAGGGACTGTCCGGATCCAAGGATGGCGAGGCGGCGCGGCAAAAGATGCAGATCAAATCCTTCACCGCGTGGGTCAACCTGCACCTCAAGCAGGCGGGCATGGCCGTCGAGAACCTCAAGACAGACTTTGGCGACGGGATCAAGCTGCTGCGCCTCGTCGAGATCATCTCCGAGGAGGAGCTCGGCAAGTACAACCAGAACCCGGTGTCCAAGTTCCAAAAGGTGGAGAACCTCAACATCCCTCTCAAGTGCGGCCGCGCCCCTCCCTCTCCTCCGCCCTCCACCTCCGCCGTCAGCCCAAATCCTCTTCCGCCGAGCGCACA